TACGTTTTTAGGAGCCTATTCTACAGACCTCAGGAGTTAAGGGCTGGCACCCCCTGGGAGAAAAGTTAAAATGAGCCCCTAAATAAAAAAAGCAGCTCAGGCTGCAGCAATCTGGAACTTTCTTCCACCACAAGCTATCCACAGTCTTGAATGTTGTGAATAATGCCCAGCAAATAAAGCATAACATACAACATGGGGGGCCCAGGAGGGGAGGAGGACAACAATTTGGGAAGCTTTAATTGTGAATTTAACTTTTTGGAAGTCAGTTTATTTCTGGAAGTCTGTTTATTTCTAATACTGAAACAAACTCTGGTCTTCATCTGTGGGATGTGAACAAAGTTATCCTGATCAGGAAATGTTTTATTCTGCATGTTTACTGCCTGTGTGATAAAAAAAAAAAATTAATAATAGACAAACCTTTTATTTAGTGCCTGATCGTTATATGTTTATAACATTACAACAATCAAATCCTCTTTTATGTCCCATTGTCCTGATGAAAGATATGTAGGAGCACTTAAACATATGACAGTAATGATAAATCACTGTGACTTGGAAGTGTCTCTAGACTGGAAGTCGGTACCCAGAGCAGATGCCTCAACAGAGCGACGAGGAAATTTATCCCGCTAGTTTTATATCTGCGATCTGTTCAGCGCACTCCCTGTGGCTATTAAACTGCAGTCCGGATGCACGACATGAATTTTTACATAGTCAACAATGGCACGTAAAAGCCATCTAACAACAACAAAGGCAGAAAGAAAATAATATATTTTTTTCCTTGGATGGGGGGGGGGGGTCGGGGTTTTGAAGGAGAACTAAAGTCTTTTTAATGTTCCTAGGTATGTGACAGTGATGATCTTAGTGTTATTAAACCCAGGGCCCTGCATTTTGCGCTCCCACAGTACACAACACCTGGAAATGCAATTATTTTAGTAAGTATAAACTGATAAATACCTTTTTTTCGTCAGCAGTATATAGCAGCCTTGTGACTTCTATCAGTGTCCAGCCGAGCACTGGTTAAAGCTTGTAGGAGGAGGAAGGGTTTTTTTTTTTTTTTGCTCTAGGAGGATGCTGAACCCTTGACCCTCTGTCTGGACAGTGCAAGCTAGGAGGCATTGGGGGAGGTTGGCTGGCACTTTGGAGACTGAAGACGCTTAGGGGGCTGGGCGGCACTGCAGACCACTGTGGGAGATGGGAGGCACTATGGGAAGTTGGGTGGCACTATAGAAGGTTAGGGGATCTGCAGAGTGTATACTACCTTTTGGATCTTGGGAACAATGGGATGATGAAAATGTACAGTGAACATTCCTCTCTTGCTGACCTATTGTAATATAATTAGGGGTAGGGGGGCTCACGTAAAGAAAGCCTGTCGCCAACCTAAAAAATTGCAGTCAAAAGCACGGAATGCTTATTTATGGTGTTTTTTTCTTTTTAATACATTTTTTTCTACTTCTGTAGTCCATTCCCTAGCATAACCCCATCCCTCCTTTCACGGTAAAGCAGTCTACCTTTCTGGCTGTGCTGGCCCAGCTCTTCCCCCATTATATCTCTGGGTGGGGCTAGCTGAGGAGCTGTGACTTAAAGGGACCAGACAAGACTAATTCTTTAGATTTATTACAGGTAATTCTATAGCTCTCTGGAAAGAAGAAAAAAGCAACCGAATGCCTGAGCTCCTGCGCTGGACAGTGGACTCCACAATGTGTATGAAAGGAATGCAAGCCTTGCTGCCCTCAACGGACCAGGGAAATCCAAAGAGCACTGTATATAAAGAGACAAAAAGAGGTCTAGTGTATTACCTTTTAAAAATGAGATTTATTTATAAAAAGGAAAAATACTCGCAAGAGAAATAAAATCAAATGGAAATTTATGTCACAAGGGATGTAATGTGGTCCAAAACCCCTGAAGGTGGTCTGGCGGGGGACGGTAGACCTCTAGACAGTTGGTGGCTGATGCGTTTCGAGGTTGTACCTCTTCCTCAGAGCCCTTCAATAGCACTGTCAATGTTGCACAGCGCTTTACATATATTGTGCATTCACATCAGTCCTTATCCTCAAGGAGCGTACAATCTAAGGTCCCCAACTTACATTCTTGGGATGCACCAATACCAGTATCCGTATCCGTGCCGATACCTAGTGTGAGTACTCATGAAAATGCTCCCCATTCCGGAAACTTTGTGGTGCGACAATACAAAATACAAATTTCACCACAAAGAATAGCATACAATTTGAACAGGAATGTGATTTCTGTCCAAATTGCATGTGGTTTCCCCACTGCTCCTGTGAGAAACCAGGCTTGTCATAGCGTTACTTCACACAGGAGTGGTGCAGGAAACCTCCCTGCACTATCCCTTGCTGAGTAGAGTGGATGTGTGGGGATGTATACCATGGAGGCAAATGCTCCGGATTCTCAGCTGCAGGAGAGAAAGTAATGGGTATTTAAAATCCATGTGGCTTTCTATCCTCTCCTTGCAGTAAGGACACTTCTGACCAGGGGCAGATTGACAACTCATGGGGCCCCTGGGCAATAGGGGATCATGGGGCCCGTGTCCTTGTCCAAACTCAAAAAAGCCTATGAAAAAGGTACCTGGGGCATCTCATGGGGCCCTCTACTGACCCCGGGCCCTCAGGCAGTGCCCGAGTTTCCAAATGGTCAGTCCACCCCGGTTCTGACTAGAGTGCTTTTGATTGGTCAGCACCCTCACATGGTTGGTGCTGACCAATGAGAAGCTGTCAAGCCATAACTGTCATCCCAGCAAGGAGAGGAGAGAAAGCTGTGGGGATTTCAAATCCCCAGACCTGTGAAGCAGCTTTCTCTTCTCTCCTTGCAGGGATGACCGTACAGGCTAGACAGCATCTGATTGGTCAGCACCATCCATGTGATGGTGCTGACCAATAAAAAGCCTTCTAGCCCAAAACTGTCATCCCTGAGAGGAGAGAAAGCGGTGGAGGTTTCAATTCCCCATTGCTTTCTCTCCTCCCCTACAGTTGGGAATACAGAGCATCTGCCACCAAAGGTATACATCCCCACATGGCTTTCTCTCCCACTCTCTGCTGTGGGAAACCTTCCTACACCGCTCCTGTGTGAACTCGGGCTATATCATGCCTGGGTTCACACGGTAGCAGTGAGGAAACTGCATCTCTTTGGGCAGTAATCACATTCCTGTTCAAATCGCTTGCTATTCTTTGCGGTGCAATTTGCGCCCACACATTTTGTATTGATGCCAATCGCACAACAAAGCATCGGTACTCTGTATCGACGAGTACTTGACTGAAAGTATTGGTACTCATATTCCCTGATCACAAAAAAAGGTATCGGTGCATCCCTAATACATATGCATACTAGGGCCAATTTACCTTACTAGCATGTCTTTGGAGTGTGGGAGGAAACCCACGCAGGCACAGGGAGAACATGCACACTCTATGCAGGTAGTGCTGTGGTTGAGATTCAGACTGATTACCCTAGTGCTGCTAGACAGAAGTGCCAACCACTTAGCCACTATGCTGCGATGGTGTGACTTGGTTCCAGTTCACATTAAAGAAAACCAATGGCAACTAGTTTCTCCAGCCCCTCATTTCTTGTAACAAATAGGCAGTAAATGCAATAAAGCGTTGTGACGATCACGGCGTCAGAGCCCAGCCCTTCTGACCAAACTCTTGACCAAAGGACTAGCCAATCTAAAACCGCACTGTCACGTGCATAACAATGCCACGCCCAGCTGCACCCTGCACAAAGATTTTCCAGCTAATGGACCACAATCTGTGTACCTGCAGCCTGGGAGCGATTGTTACTGGGTCAGGTTAATTACGCAATTAACCCTTCACACTGCCATCACCTCCTTTTTGTACAGAGAAAGAGGAAACTCGGCAATATTAGCAATAACACTATGATGGTTGGATAATCGTCTGTATACCACTGTCACCGCAGGCAGGTTATACAGAGGGTTAAAAAACACACACAGTAGCGCTCTTCAATGGCAAGAATTCGTAATTTGCAATAAAGAGCTTTAGAAACAGTTCAACACTTTCAGAAAGTAAGATTTATTACTAAAAGGTCAAAAGGGTGCAATAAAAATATTTACAGAAAAAGATGTAGCCACTATATATATAAAATATACAGAGAACAATAGTACAGCAAAGAGATAACAGAAAAGAATTTAGGTAAAGTACTTGCCAGTCAGCCTTGGTTTAAGCAGCTTCCAAGTTTCAGAGCCAAAAGGATACTTTTATCTCCCACTGTCAGTTTCGATGTTAAAAGCAGGGAGATCTTCAACTCTTACACAGCTCAGCTTTTTCTAGCAATTCCACAGGGTGTCTCCCTGGAGCAGTAAACAAATTGCCTCATTTGGGGAGGAGGGAGGTGTAGGTGGAGACCTAAGCTATGACCAAAAACTCTCCTAGCTTCTATTATGATTAATAACTTATTCTCAGTGCATTTAGCAGCCTTGCCACTAGTAGATTAATATGCAGACGCATCTGTGGAACGGTTAGATATGAAATATGAACTATTCGCTTGAATGGTTCAGGAGATATAATTTTCTGCTCTCCGGTATATGTCAGATAGGGGGTGTAATATACCAGGGAATTTGTATTAACGTTAGCCATCCGATTATTTGCTCCATCTTTGTGTAATTACGTCCTATTTGAAGATATCACTTATATGAAAAAGTGAGTTTTTAAATGTACCGTATATACTCGAGTATAAGCCGACCCAAATATAAGCCGAGGTACCTAATTTTACCACAAAAAAAACTGGGAAAAACTATTGACTCGAGTATAAGCCGAGGGTGGGAACACCAGTGGGAAGAATCGTGCCTCATCATTGGTGTCAGTGGGAGGAATAGCGCCCCATCATTGGTGTCAGTGGGAGGAATAGCGCCCCATCATTGGTATCAGTGGCAGGAATAGTGCCCCATCATTAGTATCAGTGGGGGGAATAGCACCCCATTATTGGTGTCAGTGGAATAGTGCCCCATCTTTGGTGTCAGTGGGAGGAATAGTGTCCCATCATTGGTGTCAGTGGGTGGAATAGTGTCCCAACATTGGTGTCAGTGGGAGGAATAGTATCCCATCATTGGTGTCAGTGGGGGGGGTGGAGGATTAGTGCCCCATCGTTGGTGTCAGTGGGGGGGAGGAAAAGTGCCCCATCGTTGGTGTCAGTGGGGGGGAGGAATAGTATCCCATGATTGGTGTCAGTGGGGGGTGGAATAGTGCTCCATGATTGGTGTCAGTGGGGGTGGAATAGTGCCCCATCGTTGGTGTCAGTGGGGGGGGGGGGAGGAATAGTGCCCCATCGTTGGTGTCAGTGGGAGGAATAATGCCCCATCATTGGTATCAGTGACACCAATGATGGGGCACTATTCCTCCCACTGACACTTGCTGACCCCTGTTCCAGTATGGTGCTGCTGCAGCCAGCATATGTGGTTGCAGCAGCACCTAAGCATGGCACACTTACCTGCATCTCCTTCACTCGATTTTCGCGGGGCCGCTCAGCTCTGCCTCCTCGCCGTTGATTGGCCGCCTGTGTGCCTTTCCTGAGCTACAGTTCTGGCGGCCAATCACCGGTGAGAAGGCGGAGCTGAGCAGCCGCGCGAACATCCAGTGGACGAACCGAATGAAGGAGCAGCCGCGCTTCCTGGACCGGATCGTCGTGGGACCGGAGCCAGGTAAGAGACAGCAGCCCCCTGACCACCCCTGTACTTACCGTAGTTTCCCTTCTGTTGGAAGGGGGGGAGCCATCTGCAGACGTTGACTCGAGTATAAGCCGAGGGGGCTGTTTTTCAGCACAAAAAATGTGCTGAAAAACTCGGCTTATACTCGAGTATATATGGTAAGTCTGTTTTTACAACCCCTTGGAACTCTCCGTGAAGGAATTGGTTTATGCTTTTATGATAGCCCAGATTGCAGAGCTAACAGACAGCTAGGCACCAGCTAGGCTGGGGGTTTTATAGCTCTGGAGTTCTCCTGCTGTGCCTTGATTGCCTGTGACCTCTGTCATCACCCAGACCACATGTCACTCAACAGAGAGGGAGGGGGGATGATTGGAGGAGGAAGCCTGCTTTGGGAGTGAGAGATGGTACAAAATGGAAGATTCTTAACAAACTGGAGGACTGCATCCATCTTTGTGTGCACAATTGCTACAAGCGTTGCTTTTGTGAAGTAGAACTATGACCAGTAAAACACATTTTACACATCTTCCACAAAACTGTACAATAATGCAAGACTTACAGGGTGCTTGAGGCTTGAAGCTATTACATTGGGGATGCTTTGCTGGCAGAACAATTCAAATATTCCCTAATCAGAAGGCCAGGCAAAAGCGGTCCTTCCTCAAGTGCCAGGTAGTTTCTGGGGGATATGCTGGAATATCCCTATTCTCTTTTGTCTGTTTTCAAATTTTCTCTATGCTTACTTATCGTTCCCTAACCAGAGGATATCTGTCCCTGACTCCAAACCTGCCTACTGTGCATGACGTATGCACTACAGAGTCCCAAACCTCATCAGAGGTCTGTGCCCAATCAGACACAGTCTCCCCCAAGATGGCCAACTGCAACCCAATGTAAAGAGCTCAGGAAGTAAGTCCTCTGCATGTTTTCCCTAGCACCAAAGATAACCAGTAATCGTGTGTTCAAGATGTTTACTTCTGGTAGCTAAACCAGGAAGCAAGTGGGTGATCTGCGGATCACGATCTCACTACCAATGATGTCACCCACTCAAGTGATATTCTTGCTTTTCAGGTACAGCGGTGGCTGCACAGAACCCTTCTACATCACTTTATGACCTTTTACAGTATGTAGCTACAAAGGCTACTATAGAGTAGCTACTATAGAGTTACTATTCTCAACCACAGTTCCTCCAAAGGTTGGTAGGAATTCCTTGAGCTGTTACTGATTGACCTCCTATTTGTTGCCTGCAGAGTTCTGGAGCCAACACCACTTGGCAAAGCCAGCTGCATGACACCAGTGGTCTTTTTAACTGGCTGTAGGGTGGTATTCTGACTACTACTTTAGGGCGGCGTTCTTACCACTTACCCCCCAATAAATTGGTTTTAGCAGGGGTTCTTTGAGACCTGACCAACTTATTTCAAGGTTTCCTCTGGGGCAAAAAGGTTATGAAGGCCTGCTATAGAGCATCACTTGAGTAACGGCTCTGAATTTGCTGGGGCTGCTGACATCAAGATGGCTACACCCAGCAGTAGTCGCAGGGATTTTGGATGTCTACACAAGGAAGCCTTTTACAGGTAAATAGCATACATAAAATGCACATGTAATATTATGGAAAGATTGTTATTACTGTAGCACCTCCCTAATTTATCTAGGAGGAGCTAGTGTTTGTTAGTGAGGAAGGCTGAGTAGCAGCCTGGGTGTAATAGCCAGAAGGTCGAATTGTGGTCAGGACTGAAAGGCTCAGCAGATGGAATTTCCCCCTGCTCCAGAGCTTTGGAGGGAGACCCTGGGTGGATATGAGGAGTGGCTGTTTTGGACTCTTGAGGGGTTCTAGCCGGTCCCCAACAGAAGGCTTGGCAAGGGGCTGAACAACCTTAAAAGTGTTAGAGCCTGCTCAGTAGCAGGAGAGTTGGAAGGAAAGTTAGGGTGGATGTGAGGCTGAAGGAAGGAGGCCCAGTGGGATGAGGCCTACCTGCAGGCCTGGAGCTGGAAAGAGAGAGAGAACCACCTGTATGGTAGGGAAGGAGTGGCACAGCTGATAGGCCGGGTAGCAGCCACCAACCCACAAGAGGTACAGGAGAGGATCTCCACCCCCTGGGCAGATAGGGGAAGGCGCTCTCTGGTGGATACCCAGATTTGGCACCTACCCTTGACTGTTCATCTCTTAAAGTGACAGGAGCTAGATCCCCCTGCTCAGGAATACCTCCAGATTGCTGGGTGAAGAGAAGGTCATCGAGGGTCTGGGATGATATATTAGGAGAGACTGGCTAGCTCTCCATCAGAGACTGTGCTGCAAAGAAGACTTGTAAATAATTCCAGAAGTTGTCCTCAGTTTATTGGTTTCCTTGGTTATCCTGTACACCCCTAACCCTATCTCAGTTCAAGTCCCCTAAATAAAACAACTAAACTAAAGCTCAAGGACTGATTTCTGACTCTGGATGCCAACTTTTGTGAAGATGTGTGTTGCCTGGCTGTGCAGGACTATAGGAGGACCCAAACCTAGTGACTCCAAAGGAGGTAGTGCTACATTACATTGAATGGTCTGGTGAGAGGGTCTCTTTAAACTTTGCACAGGCCACATTTAACCCAAGACTGGCCCTGGATTCAGCTCTAATCACTACGGCAACGGCAAAGTGCAGAAAATCTTTTCTGAGTAAAAATCAACATTATACTGCTAGATGAGGACAACCTCGGATGCGGGCTTTATTACGGATTGACTTCTTCCTTCCTGGAAATGGTTTGATGACCAGGTCGTCTCCATAGCTATAAAGCACCATAAAACTGCAAATTCACTGAAGCCTGATGTTTAAGTTACAATCTATTTTTACATTGTGAAGCTGATTTTAATTGAATTGTAAATCAGTTTTATGGTATGGTCTTGACCATGAGCGTGAAACGTTTTATTCTCTTGCATTTGCAAAGCTACTTTGTTCATTGTAACAAATACTTTACTGTTTACTGCATTATAGAAAACGACAATGCGCTTCCATCACCTTGTAATTGTCCACTCAGCATCACAAACAATGCTAAAAGAAATCTATCTGTATATGGCAGCCTTTAAATATTCTGAGTGAACTAATATAGAGCAACCTAACAGAAATTAAATATACTGCTCAGTTGAAGCTGTTGAGAACTGACTCCTGATTGGTTGGCTGTGTTTATTGCTCTATGCAGAAAGAGCTCTGTTAAGTTTTTTTGCTTGAGTAAATCACATGAATTCAAAAATTGTCTTTTTTTCACAATGGCATGATGACTTCACAATGAAGGGCATCAATAATATTGGTAGATAGCGAGCCTGGACCGCAGCGGCGGCTAACTGGTCTTCTCTCCTACAAAAGGTGTTGTGAAGGGTCACATGACATCAGGCTCAGGTGAGTTAAAAAGGACTTCAACATTTTGTTGGAAAAAGTGGGTGGTAGGGTTGAGAATTTGGAGATGAGTTTTAATGCAGACCTCAACTTTCTCAAGGAAATTTTGTACCTAAGGAAATATGAAACCGTTTGTTACCAACTTCCTTCTGAAAATGCCATTCAGGACTCTGATCTTTATACTGGTTTCTGGTTCTAGATTACTAGAGACCTGAGAGGCAATTTACAAAGCTTTTTCCTTTATTTAAACTGTTATTTGATTGATAATGCACATTACTGTATGTAGTTACTCTTTAAAGTGGTAGTAAAGTCAGTTTTTGCACTTGTACCTACAGGTAAGCCTATAATAAGACTTACCTGTAGGTACTGTAAATATCTTCTAAATGTACACCGTTTAGGAGATATTTACCTGTGTAGAGCACCGGCGCATGTGCCCTGAAGTAACAGCATGCCCGTGCCGTTCCTTCAGAGCTAAGTGCTGTAACAAGTGACTCCCTCACACATGTGCAGGACTGACGTCTACGTGGCTTGGCTATTCAAGTCCAGTGAGTATTGGGAACATATTCCAGCATTTATACGTGGTGTCTCAAAAGTCTCCATTCATACGAAAAATTAACAAACGCATACGCCACCTCATTATGGTAACAGCAACCGGTGATGGTTGGATCAAGAGTTTCCACATTTGTTGATTGGTTGACGAGGCCTTGTGTAATGGCCTGTGAGCTCCCCTGACCTTTCCCCGCTTGACTTTTATTTCTGGGACCACTTAAATGGCATGGTGTACAAGGAAAAGATTAGAAACGTGGATAATTTAAAGAAACACATTCGAAATACGATTACTTGCATAACAATAGATATCTTGAAACGTGTTCGCCATGAGTGGAGGAGAAGACTTTGTGTGTGTATGTATAGAAAGAGGTGGCCAACAGGTAGAGAATAATTTGTAAATATTTTGGAATTAATCATTTGCAAAGAAAGGTATATTTGGCTACAATTTACCATTTTCCCTATCATAAGCCACCAGTTCATTGACTTTTCATAGGCTGAAATTATGTCATCAGTATGTATCAGACAGGAGGATGCATTTCCTCACTCTTTTCTTCCCTAGTTATCAGACTGTATATTGTAGATGGATGTGTCTTCTTTTTTTTTTTCAACTGGACTAACTATGTAACATTGAGTAAGCAGCCACTGCATAGGTAAAAACATTTACATGATTGTGCCATCTCATACTCGGCATCTCAGTTCAGGAGGTAGATGATGGCCCTTGGTGATGCCTGAACAAAGATGAAGCC